GGCTATTGTGAAGGGTGTTGTTTCCCTAATTTCTTTCTCGGCCCTTTTGTCTGTGGTATACAGGAGGGCTTCTGATTTTTTTGAGTTGATTTTGTATCCTACCATTTTGCTGAAGGTGTTTATCAGCTGGAGGAGTTCTCTGGTTGAGTTTTTAGGGTCGCTCATGTATACTATCATATCATCTGCGAATAGTGACACTTTGACCTCTTCCTTTCCGATTTGTATCCCCTTGATCTCCTTTAGTTGTCTTATTGCTCTGGCTAGGACTTCAAGTACTATGTTGAAGAGGTATGGAGAGAGTGGGCAGCCTTGTCTTGTCCCTGATTTCAGTGGGATTGATTTAAGTTTCTCTCTATTGAGTTTGATGTTGGCTATAGGCTTGCTGTATATTGCCTTTACTATGTTTAGATATGTGCCTTGTATCCCTGATCTCTCCAAGACTTTAAACATGAATGGGTGTTGGACTTTGTCAAATGCTTTTTCAGCATCTAATGAGATGATCATGTGGTTTTTCTCCTTCATTTTGTTTATGTGGTGGATTACATTGATGGATTTCCATATGTTGAACCACCCTTGCATGCCTCGGATAAAGCCTACTTGGTCATGGTGGATGATATCTTTGATGTGTTCTTGGATTCGGTTTGCAAGTATTTTATTGAATATTTTTGCATCAGTGTTCACAAGAGAGATAGGTCTGAGGTTCTCTTTTTTTGTTGGGTCTTTGTGTGGTTTAGGTATCAGGGTGACTGTCGCTTCATAGAATGAGTTTGGTAATGTACCTTCTGTTTCTATTTTTGTGGAATAGTTTGAGGAGAATTGGTGTTAGCACTTCTTTGAAGGTCTGGTAGAATTCCTCACTGAAACCATCTGGCCCAGGGCTTTTTTTGGAGGGGAGACTGTGAATGACTGCTTCAATTTCCTTGGGGAATATAGGGCTATTCAGTCTTTCTACCTGCTCTTGAGTTAATGTTGGAAGATGGAATCTATCAAGAAAATTGTCCATTTCATTTAGGTTTTCAAATTGTATGGCATATAGGCTTTTGTAGTATGACCTAATGATTGTTTGAATTTCCTCAGTGTCTGTAGTTATGTCACCCTTTTCCTTTTTGATTTTGCTGATTTGGATAGATTCTCTCTGCTTTTTAGTTAGTTTGGCTAAGGGTTTGTCTATCTTGTTGATTTTCTCAAAGAACCAGCTTTTTGTTTCATTGATTCTTTGGATAGTTATATTTGTTTCTAATTGATTGATTTCAGCCCTGAGTTTGATTATTTCCAGCCGTCTGTTCCTCTTGGGTGTATCTGCTTTTTTTTCTAGGGTTTTCATTTGGGCCATTAAGGTGTTTGTATGTGATGTTACAAATTTCTTCTTGCAGGCACTTAGTGCTATATATTTTCCTCTGAGCACTGCTTTTAATGTGTCCCTTAAATTTGGGTATGTTGTGCCATCATTTTCATTGAATTCTAGGAAGTCTTTACTTTCTTTCTTTATTTCTTCCTTAACCCAGCTGTCATTGAGTAACGAGTTGTTCTATTTTCATGTGCGTGTCAGCTTTTTGTTCTTTCTGTTCTTGCTGAGGTCCAACTTTAGTCCATGGTGGTCAGATAGAATACAAGGGATTATTTCAATCTTTTTGTATCTGTTGAGGCTTGCTTTATGACCAACTATATGGTCTACCTTGGAGAAGGTTTCATGCTTTGCTGAAAAGAAGGTATACTCTTTTGAGTTTGGATGAAAAGATCTGTAGATGTCTATTAGGTCCATTTGATTTAGGGACTCTGTAAGTGTTTTTATTTCCCTATTTGTTTTCTGTCTAGTTGATCTGTTCCTTGGTGAGAGTGGAGTGTTGAAGTCTCCCACTATTGGGGTTTTAGGATCAATGTGTGATTTAAGCTTTAATATTGTTTCATTTACGAATGTAGGTGCTCTTGTATTTGGGGCATAGATATTCAAAATTGTGATGTCCTCTTGGTGGATTTTTCCTTTGATGAGAATATAGTGGCCCTCCTTATCTTTTTTGATTAACTTGGGTTGAAAGTCTATTTTATTAGGTATTAGGATGGCTACTCCCGCTTGTTTTCTGGAACCATTTGCTTGAAAAACATTTTTCCAGCCCTTTACTCTGAGGTAGTGTTTATCTTTGTTGCATACGTGTATTTCTTGGATGCAACAAAATGTTGGATCCTGTTTCTGCAACCGTTCTGTTAGTCTGTGTCTTTTAATTGGGGAGTTGAGTCCATTGATGTTGATAGATACTAGTGACCAACAATTGTTACTTACTTTAGATGTGGGGTTGGTGGTGTCACTGAGTTTCATTGCTTGTATTCTTTTGATTTTTTTGTTGTGTAGTTATCTATTTCCTCTGTTTCCTTAGATGTAGTTGTTTTCTTTGGTTTGGAGTTTCCCTTCTAGTAACTTCTGTAGAGCTGGGTTACTATGTAGATATTGTTTAAATTTGGTTTTGTCATGGAATATTTTGAATTCTCCGTCTATGTTGATTGAAACTTTTGCTGGGTATAGTAGTCTGGGTTGGAATCTGTGGTCCCTTAAGGACTGTATGATTTCTGTCCAGGCCCTTCTGGCTTTCATAGTTTCTGTTGAGAAATCTGGTGTGATTCTGATAGGTCTACCTTCATATGTTACTTGGCCTTTTTCCCTTGCTGCTTTTAGAATTTTTTCTTTGTTTTGTAGGTTCAGTGTTTTCACTATGATGTGACATGAAGAATTTCTTTTCTGGTCTCGTCTACTTCGTGTTCTGTAGGGCTCTTGTATGTTTATGGCCATCTCCTTCTTTAAGTTGGGAAAGTTTTCTTCTATAATTTTCTTGAAAATATTTTCCGGACCTTTGAGCCTGATGTCTTCTTTTTCTCCTCGTCCTATTATTCTTAGATTTTGTCTTTTCATGGTGTCCTTGATTTCTTAGATGTTTTGTGTTTGGAACTTTTCTGATTTTATTTTTTCTTTGAGAGACGTGTCAATTTCTACAAGCATATCTTCGGCTCCTGAGCTCTTTTTTCCATCTCTCGTATTCTGTTGGTGATGTTTACCTTTGTAGTTCCCGATCTTTTCTCTATGTTCTCCAGCTCCTGGTTTTTCTCTATTTGTGTTTTCTTTATTGATTCTAATTCTGTTTTCATGTCTTGCACCATTTCCTTCATCTGTTTGAATGTGGACTCCTGCTTTTCAATGATAACTTCTATTTTTTTGTCCGTTTCCTCTCTATGTATCACTAATTGTGCCTCTACTTCTTTGGGTATAATTGCCTGTATTTCTATGAGAGCTTTGTTTATTTCTTCTTTATTTACCTTCATTTGTGTGGACATTTCTTTGAGAGCTTTGTGCATTTCTTCTCTGTTTGCCGCAATTTTCGTGTTCATTTCTCTAAGAGCTCGATTTGTTTCCTCTTGGTTCGTCTCGATTTCTTTGGCTATTTCTCTGAGGGCTTTGTTCATTTCATCTTTATGGGCCTCTAATAGCTGGAGAAACAGTATTGAGGTCTTTTTCTTGTATATCTAGTGAATTGAAGTGTCCATTGTTTTGTGGGGTTGCTGGTGAGGTCATTATGTCCTGATTTTTGTTGGGAGTGTTCTTATGTCTGCCTCTAGCCATCTGGTTATTTGTAACTCTCACTGTTTTTTCCTCGAGTTTGTAGTTCGGTCTATGATCGTCTCTTTCTGTTTTCTGGACTGTTTTTTCAGGAAGATGAGAGAGGTTCACTGATTTGGGAGTGTGCACTGTGGTTTCAGTGTTGCCTAAGTAAGGAATGTGACCCTGGTGCTATTCGCATGTTCTTTTAGCGGGCGCAGTGTGCATGCGCGGATTCTCTGACTATTGCAGTGGCCTGCAGGCCACTATTATGCTGTTCTGTCTGAGATCCAGGGATTGTTTGCCTGGATTACACTGGTGGACCTACAAGGCAGAGTCTATAACGTTGGGTCGCTATCCCAAGAATCCCTATGATTCCCACACTAGGGGTGTGGGTGTCAGGGATATCGTCTGGTTGCTTCTGTGGAGAGGCCCTTGGTCTGGGATAAACTCTCCCTAGAAGGCTCACTCACCCTCTTGCAGGACCAGTTGGAATGCACAGGGGTTCCCCTTGCTCTCTACTCTCTGATTTGGTCCTGCGTAGACAGCTAGTTTTGGAGACAGCCTCAGGAGAGGCAGCACATGCCAGGTGATCCATGTGCCACCCCGTAAGACAGAATGTGCACAGTGATATTTGCCTTAGAGGTGAGTTCATTAAAATTGTACTCACCGAAAATTAGGGGTCATTTTGATTTTAACTGATTAGCAAAGGATTACTTTAGTACGGTTGTTGAATAAATTGTACGAATCAGTTTCTGATGGCCTGCAGGCCAGATATATTACAAATTATCTGAACCAAGGGGGCAAGAGCACAAGTGGGCTTTAGTCAAGGGAATAACCGATGGAAATATCTGTAAAATTCTATATAACATTTCAATGTTTGAAAGCGAATCATAATTTAAAAAATGATTTTACCTACAGACTATTTTTTGTGGATCTTAAGGTTTTTTTTTGTTTTGTTTTGTTTTGTTTTTAGCAAGAGCCACTAATATTTAACACACTAATTTAAAACATAGGACTCACATTTTCTATGCAACTATGATGATTAGTCTTTATTCACTTTTGATAAATTAATTTCGTTTCATTATTTTACTCTTATTATCAGATCATCACATCAAATTGATTCAACCGTTATTACAGTATTTCTATCAACTTACTTCTTCTAGTTACAGGACCAACATCATATTGGATTTATAGTCAAGTCAAGATATAGTGTGTATCTCCATAATTGGTGATGTTTCTTCCTATTCTTGGGTCATTGCAACCCTGACAATTCAGGTTTTTTGTGTTGTATTTCGAGCTATTTTGTATTTTCAGGTTTGTCCAACTGAAGTGGTATTAAGTTCCTCTCGGCACACTGCCAAAGCCTCAGATTAATTTAATATATTTGACCCTTCATTTTTATGTTTTATCATAGTTCAAAACAAACACAAATGTGAAGAGAATTATTTCAGTTGTCCCAGTGGAAGATGCATTCTGAATACGTGGGTGTGTGATGGTCAGAAGGACTGTGAGGACGGGCTAGATGAGCTTTACTGTGGTAAGCCTCAGTCCTGCACTGTTTTGTGAGATGTGCATGCTCCTGCTCAGATCCTGGTATTTCCATTCCTAGGGACTCTCTGTGTAATAGTGTTGATGGACTATAGAAGTAAATACAGGCGGTTATAACAAAGCACAACAACTCCTTTTCCCAGACTTTTCTTACAACATTTTACTTAAAATAATTCTTACCAATATTGATCTAAATGCTGTATCTTTATTTTTTGACTAGTTTATTTCAGGTGCTGTTAATTTATTTCCATTCTGTTATGAATAAATAGGCTTTAAAAATATGTTACATTTACCACAGTAGTTTTTGAAAATTAAACAATGATTTTAAATTTTGCACTAAATCTGTGCGTAGTTTTAAATAACACACTCAAGCATATGTTTCTTCTAACATTTGCCTGTTTCTCACTATTTCACTATTTCTTTGATGCAAAGTTTATATTGTAAATTTTTTTTTAATTTTATTTTATAAAATTTATAATTTTGTGATTTTCTGTTAGAGAAACAAGCCTATATTCAATCTTTTATTATAACACAAGCACACTGTGGTGAATGAAGTTGGAAGAAGATTAAAAAAAGAATTGCTGGTAAAATGTCAAACTCTCCTAAAAGTAAATTCCATAGCAAAATGATGAAGTGTGTTCTGGGTAATTAAAATTCTGCACATCTTCACATTAGAGCCAGACTCTGCTCCAGCAAAAAGAAAGCTTCAAAAAATAGTCCATGTAAATTCATAATGTCTAGACAGGGAATTATTATATGTTTAAATCTTCTTCAATTTTGCTTTCCCAAAAATGAAGTGGCCTAAAATTCCTTTATTTCACTAATCATCTAAATAAATATTTAAATTAAAATACAAAGCTTAAAATATTTCTGTAGAATTATTAAAGCCTGTGTTAGTTAACTTGCTGCTGACACAAACAATTAAGTGTGAAGGATTTGTTGCAGTTTACAGCTCAATGGGTTATAAAGCACCATGGCAGAGAAGGCATAGCCATAGGAACAGGAGGTGCCTTGCTACACTGCAACCAGACTCAAAGAGCAGAAAACACAGAATGATGTACTTAAGCCACTTTCGCCCATGAACTCAGCCTCAGGTCCTTCCCCACATTTAGGCTGTCTCTTCATACTCCCATTAACCTAATCACAATAACCCCTTACAGAGGTTTATTCCCTTTGTGATTCTGAATCTCTCCAAAATGAAAAGATCAACAATCACAAAGCCAAATTTTTATTTTAATGAAAATTTGTGTTTTGGATAATTTTATTTGGGAAAGCTTCATTTTGGGGATGCCACTTGATAAATCACTGTCCTTGGCTGTAGAAGGACAGAGACTGAAGCAGGACAATAAAAACACCACACTGTAAAAAGTAAAGAGGCATCGTTATTAAAAATATCTACCCTATTATGAAGAACACATGTTTATATTGAATTTTGAAGTTTCTTTCTCAGAAGTTATAAACTCAAGCATTCTAAGATAATATAACAAAAGCACCAGCTAGTGGACTTTTTAAAAGAACTAAAGTATTGGCTTGTTATACAATCTAGAACCTAGTTTCTCACCTCTTCTTTGATATCATGTGTTTGCCGGTCATATTACCTTGATTATGATGCAGATTTTTCTATTAATTAAAGATTGACTAAAATGAAGAAAATACTACTTTCTTCACCTGGAGTATTTATTTTCATTTGGTGATCAAGGATATTCTTAAAGTATAGCAAGCATAGTCACTAGCTACAAGGCAGGGCCTTAAGAAGTAAGCTGTGGGAATCAGTTCTTGCAAGTTTGAAGCACAGGAGCTTGCAAGTTGTTGCCAGCCTTCTTGTAGAGTCACCATGGAGAACAGGAACTTGGTTTGTTTCATTATGGGACTGAGAACAGGAACTTGGTTTGTTTCATTATGGGATGGTTGGATTTAGAAAACCTTTAGAAAGAGTATAAGAAATACCTTTCACTATGATAACAGGGAAACATATTTTAAGATAATCTTGTTTATGATTAAATAACCTTTGTCAATTATGTATGTTAACTGGTTGCCATGTGATATTTTGATCTATGCTCTCATTGTGGAATGTTCAAACAAGAGTAAAACTATCTATTTTTTTCAGATATTCATTATTTAAAAAATCTTTCCCTATAGCTTTTTAAACATTAAATGTTGTTGTGTGGAGTTGTACTATTGTGCGATTGATCGCCAGAACTTATTTTTTTTCCCTAAAACAACTTGCATCTTTGTTTTTTCTAGATTCTTCTTGCTCTTGGAATCAATTTCCTTGTTCTGAACAAAAATGTATTTCTAAACACTGGATCTGTGATGGAGAGGATGACTGTGGCGATAGCTTAGATGAAAGTGACAGCATTTGTGGTAAGCAGCTTTCTCTGTGCACTCAAAGTTTTCCTGTGAACTCTTATGAAGCATATGTTTGATCATCTTGAAGCATACATATTACATATGCAGGTGCTTTCTAATGTATTAAACAGCATCAAATTTATACTCATATGCAGTTGATTTTATTGTTTTCACGTGTATTATTTTATTATTTATAAAATAACAGTTTGATCTTTTACTTTAAGATTTTATTTTTAGTTATTTGTATTTGGGTGTATCTCCGTGTGGAAATGTGCACAAGCCATGTCCCTGGATGTAGAATTATAAGTCCTTATGTGCTGTTTAATGTAGGTGTCAGGATTTAAATCATGGTCTTCTGCAAGTAAAATATATCCTTTTAACCACTGAGCAACACCTCATGCCCCATTCTATTGTTTTTTAAAGTATACACATTGCATATGTAGAATTTTTCCTGACTAGTACCAAATAATCACATTTGTCTGTCATATATTAGTCTTCAGTGTTCCTTTGCACTAAATTCCAGAAGTTTAACAGTTATTCAACATTTTATTCATTTGTTACCAAATCCATCTGTATATCTACCCAGTTCACTTTATATGTATTATTTATATTTGTGCTTGCATAATGCTTTCCTCCTCACAGCAGGATTGGAAGACCTGACTAATAAGCTTAGATGCCTGGACAAAGCTGACTGTCTTTCTACATCTACATTTCAGCATAATGGGCAGCTGTTTAGGTTGCAACCAGAAACAGAATTTCTTTATAATTCTCACCCTCACCTGAATTGCCTTGTGGATATCATAAAATTGGTGCTATCTTCTAAAATCCAACAGTTTATTTTACTGCATTTAAGCCAGCCCAAAAGTATTTTTCTTCTTTGTAGATTAGGAACAGTATATACTTAAAAAAAAGATAAACATAGAAACAAAGGTCATTATTAAAATTCTTTAAACACAAGAAATAGTGAGTAATTACATGACTTAAGCTCCTTTTTTTGTTCCCTTTGTTTCAAGTCTTTCAGTTCTAACACAGGACTTTCATGGGGTAAGCATGTTCCCAGGACATGAAGTCATCTTTCTTTTGACCTTTGGTTTAACCAGGCAATGAAAGTTTCCACTGGTGACTAATTTCTTATAGACACAGTGTAATAGGAGGGAAAAAAGCTCTAGAGCTATACAGAGTCACTACACTCACGTCTGATTTCCAAGGTATGTAATCATGGGAATCTCATATTATTGCTCAATTCTTGAACTATCCACTGATAATAAGATATGGAGAGATTTATCCACATAATTGCCTTGATTACCATGCACTGCATCCATGCGTTTATATCTGTTTTTTTCTCTTGCTTTTCCTTTCTGCTGTTTTTTCTTATGTCCAAGTGATATTACACCTATCATTCATTCTCTCTTTCTCCTCTTTCCTTTCTCTCTCTTCCACTTTCTCTTTCTGCACACACACACACACACAAACAAACACACATATATACACACTCAATAATGTTTTTGAAAATGTTTTTAAATAAAGAAGAAAAATGTAGTAAATTCTGTTTATTGGCATCCAAAATAATGGGTCTATTCAATTTACTTATAGATTGTATTTTCTATTGTAAAGATATGATTTCATATATGAACTGCCTCTTTAGACCAAATCTGAGTAAAAACAGAATCTAATATTTTAGGACAGAAAGGGAACCTTACAAATAACTCATCTCAGTCTTTCACAATACTGACCATACCCCCAAAACCTCCATTTTACAAGTCCAATAAAATATATATTGCAGATCTCCACTTCCAAATGCTATGATGAAGTATATGAACATGTTTCTTAACACTTGGAATTTATCTCTGACACAGCATGTTGAGGAGATCAGCAATGAAAGTCACACTGCGCTATCTCTAGCTGAAAGGGAAATGCATAGAGATTAATAAATTCACCTGAAATAACACAGCTAGTGGCTGATGGCAGAGGTATGGCCAGAATTCTAGTTTCCAAAATATTAATAGGATACTGACCTTTAACAATTTGCTCTTCTTGTCTGAGCAGAGCATAAGATGGGCCTTGTGGATGGTTCTCAGTGTGTGCTTATTCTCCCAAGAGATAATTTCCCCTGGGGAAGGGAATGCCAGATGGCAGTGGCAACTAAGAAATGAAGCCATGAGGTTTTCTATGGCTAGTTTCTTTCCTATTGATTTAGTGTTTTGGCATGTTCTTCACTCAGATTCTGTTGAATACTATCAAGAGAGCCATTGAATTAGCTGCAAAAAACCATTATATCTGATAGCTGGAAGATGTCTTTATAATTATCTATTCATAACCCTTTTTCTAGCAACAGAAAAAAAATTAGACAGGAGACTTCTCAGAGGTCAGGCAGAATTAGATCACAGCATGGCCAATATCACAGAAGTTAAAACATGGAATTATGAGTTCAGTATTGAAAATGATTTGAAGAGATAAGGAACTTATAAAATAATTTCTGTAGGAAGATCCTCATTTTTAAAATCATTAAAGATATTATAGCCATTAAAATTTATTTGTAAATGAAAGCAACACTTATTTTACACTTATTTCCTGTTTTCCACTTAATCCTTTTTTTCTGTTAAAGTACTAATCCTCAGTGCAACAGACAAGTCTTCAATACATGGACACTTCAGTATTCACAACATTTTTACCTTTCTAGCCTTTTATACGCCAAGGAAAGGCAGCCTGGGCCTCTCAGGATCTTTGCTTATATAGTCCTCTGATGCATGTTATGTGAACAATGCTCTGAGAAGCAACTTCTGTTCACAGCAATCATATGACTAAAAACTGAAATGAAATAACCATCTATTAAAGTACATTAATTGGCCTATATGAGTGGAAGCAATTTTTTTTTTTGTACTGCTAAGGATTAATCCCAGGGCTTTGCAATTGTCACTCAAGCAATCATCTCCTTTTAAACATACCAAAGTTTTATAAAAGTACTTAAACAAGGACGTGTTTAGCTGTGTTTGGGACATTAGTTTATTCTCAAGAGTGAAATTTGAAAATTGAGATTGAGCTCCTTCACCCAACAAACATTTTATGTATACAAATAAACTAAGCATTGAAGATATATACTGTAGAAATGGCTAGGGGTGTCGTTGATGTGTGATCACCATACGCTCATAAAAGAGCTGTCTGTGTCCCTGTGAATTTACAGTTCTGGCCAGAAATCACTGAAAGAGTTACATACAGCCCAACAGGACAGTAAGTGACAGAAGTGGGAAGGCAGATTCTGGGTAAAGGTGAAAGGTAAATGCTTTTTTCTTTGCAGCAATATAAGATGAGGCTGAAGAGCACTCATATTGGCATAGGAAAGGAATGTGGTTATAATCACAAGGAAACATTTTGGGCTTCCATGTCAGTATGGGGAGCTCTGTACTTGTGATCTTCAAGTTTTCAGCTTGTATAAGCTGGTTTTCTTTTCTGTGAAGTGTGGTAAGTAATAGTTTACAGGATTAAAGGAGCTGACAAATGAAATAGTTCATGTGAGCTAAGCTATGAAAGGATTTCATCACTGCTACTGTTCCCACCTATGTAGGTTTAATACCTCCAGAATGTCATTTAAGAATTCCAGAGCATGCTTTGATATATTCTCAAGGAAGAGAGATATTACTTCATATGACGTAGCTGTAAATAGGAAAGCACTTGCAAGTAGGAAAGAGTATATTCTTAAACAAGAATATGTAAGCAGTTATCAGGACAGAGTAATCCATGATTTTCAATAAGTGTCTTCTCTTCATTGCATTCAAGAGCCTTTTTGCTTATATCCACAAGCCAGAGGAACTGTGGCCATGTTGTAATGGATACACAGAACTTAATACCACTTTCCTTTTGGGTTTAAGGTGCTGTCACTTGTGCAGCTGACATGTTCAGCTGTCAGGGCTCCCATGCCTGTGTGCCTCGACATTGGTTGTGTGACGGTGAGAGGGACTGTCCAGATGGCAGTGATGAGCTCGCCACGGCAGGCTGTGGTAAGAACACTGACTGAAGCTCTCTGTCAAAGAAGTCTGCAGGATCCTGGGGGGAGGAGTAATGTACTTTTATTTCATTTTACCCATCCTTGGACCTCAAGGGTCCAGGTGGGATGTTGTAATAACAGTAGTTTATCAACACTTATACATTCAGAGTGTCTTAGAAATGCTCAGTGACATCACCGACTTTAAAACTGTTTCATTGTCTGCAAATTTAATTTTTCAGCCCCCAAATAGCATAAATTCATTATGTACAACTTGTTTGTTGGCCTAGTGTTTTCTTACTTAACAACTCTTTACTCCAAATTAATTTTGAAAGCCTATTAAAAACTATAAATAAAATAGCTAATATTAAGTAAATACTGATCAGGCAGTCAGTGGACAGCTATCAATTCTAAGGATGTGGTATTAACCCCTGGGTCTGGTAAAGACAGTTTCAATAGGACTGAATGAAACAAAAGGATCAAGAAAAGCACCTTTCAGGTCAGACAATTTACAAAGTTTCTAACTCAAGATTACTTCAAGGAGTTACTCAAGAGTAAAAGTTTACATAATTTTTTTTTTTTTTGTATGATCAGGCAGGTAAAAAGACACCCCGATGTGAATTTAGATGCCAAAGATCAACTAGTGATCTGTTGAGCTGGAAAATTTATCAGAAAGGGTTTGTTTGACAGATTCACAGTCTATTAAGTGAAATATAATAATGTCGTGAATTTTTTTAAAGATGTAAATCTTCACTTCTTTAAAATATTATACGGGAGCCTGTTGGCACACATGTATGTCAAAGCAATAAAAGCGCAACATAAATAATTTGGCGCAGCCTTATTCGCTCACATCTCATCCTATCGTAGAATATGCAAAGCTGTGATCTTGGAGCTGATGTGTTTCTCTGAAGGTCAATTTTGCCGCTGAGGACTGAATAACAAAAGACTACGAGTTAATTCAGAAATCCAGATGATCACACATGCTGTTGCTATTGTAGTGAGTCAGTGCTAAGGGAGGTGTGGTAGCACCTGTGGGCCTCATGGGTTTTCTTCGATAAATTATGCTAACACATTAGCAAATTGCACTCAAGTGATCTGAACGTATTAATGGAAAAGAAGTTACTGCTGCTCTATTTTAAAGAAGGATGTACATGTCAGGATTGCTGTCCTTCACTTCCGTTAAAGAAATTGTCACAGCTCAAAGTTACCCGAGTTATTAGCAACGCTGAGGTGTGTGTTCATGAAAATATGTGAACTTCATGCTGTTTCTGTGTGAATTTTACATAGCAGTTCAAAACGAATTTTCTGAAAGTCAATTCTACTAGACTACATGCCGCACACACACAAAGATCCTTTCTGTTTTGTCTGTTCATGGCTCTAGGCGGACGATTATCGGGAGGATAGTGGAGGTTACTTCATGGGATGTGGGCCAGCTCAGGGCAGGGGGCTGACAAGCATGAGGGACACGATTTGTAAAATTTCAAGTCTCACAGTGATGTACTTAGAGAATGTCAGATCATCACAAGGAAAGATGCCAAGAATCTTGTGTTGATTTGTGAAAACTGAACATATTGCTGCATCTTTAAGCACAATAAAAGAGGTATTTTCCATGGGGACAGCAGTGCTTATTGTTTTCAATGTCTGTTATATGTTAATCAGTTCAGTAGTAAGGCACTTTTTATTTACATTATTGTCATTACATTACAATACTGTCAGCGATGCCATAAAGTGTTTTAGGGAACCTGTAAAGCATACTTAATGTAGAAATAGCAATTCTGAGAGTACCTATAAATTGTTGAATATCTAAGTTGAAAGGTCATTTCTACATACCTTCTATCCTCATGGAAATATTGTCAGAGAGATTTAATTATCTCCATTAAACAAAGAAAGAAACAGAGGAGCAAAGAAGGTGCAAAGTTTCTTAAGCATGAAAATGTAGGAGACAGAGCCACTTAGGAGACCTGTGCTGCCGGCGTTTGACCATCGCATGTCGTAGATTTTAAGCGTTCACAACGCCTCGAACACTAGGCACTCCACCACTTAACTTTCAGTTGACTACAGTAGGTGCTGTTAAGGCTTGTGCTTTTATGAATATAATATCAAAGTAGATTTTCTTAGCATGAATCTTATTGCAAATTTGATCAACCATTACTTAGGCTCTTTCTGAAGTACTGCTTTCATGGGGCTTTGTTCCTGAGGGATCAATATTCCTTTTGAAGGGTCAGTTTTCATGGCATTAATGGGATTGTGGTGGGGCTCATTACCTTGTAGATCTTAATGTTGCTTAAAGCAAGGAGCCTTTTCTAAAGGATTTTGGAAGAATTTTCTTTTATGAACAGTGCCATTCTTAGTCTTCTTGATGCACCCTCCGTGTTCCTCATGGGCATTGACAGTTTCTATCCACTGAATCAACATTTAAATCCTGAATGTTTCTATTTGCAGTTTAATATGCGTATGACATTATTCAATTACCTAATACATAGCCTTTTTCCTGAGTACCTACACATTGAGAGAGAAAGCTTCAAACTGTCAACTTCAAGCATGAGAGAAATATGTTCTCATGTAACTTTATGTTTTGTAAATTCTTAGCACCCAATAATACATGTGATGAAAATGCTTTCATGTGCCGTAACGAGGTGTGCATTCCCAAGCAGTTTGTGTGTGACCATGATGATGACTGCGGAGATGGCTCAGACGAGTTCCTGCAGTGTGGTGAGTGAACATTTATAAGATATAGCAGCTCAAGGTCTATTGAAGGGGCTCTAAGACACGTAACTAACAAATACAAACACAGGCATTTATTAATGTCTTTAAGGCCAGGGAATTCAGTATTACACAGTGGAGTAGGAGAGTTCTTCAAGTCCTGAAAAGCTACAGATCTGTTTGCAAAACATTCTTCTTACTGTGAACTCAGAGCATTCAGCAGCCAAACTGGTAAATATCTGGAAAAGGCCTTTGTGTTGTTGAAAATGAGACATGACTGGCTCATCCAATCTTACACCTAATCAATGATATACAAGTTAAAAGAAAAAAAAAGCCCAAAAGATGAAACTTTAACTTCTACTGTTGTAGTTAAAATACCAAAAACATGTACTTAGTATACTCCTTCGCCTTTTTTGTTGACACGTGCATTACTTACTGTTCAGATTTAGCATTATGGTCACCAAATGTGTCTCGGTATTGTGTTGTCTATCTATTTCTTCCAGAATAGAACTTTTTGAGTACAGCTAGTTACATACCAAAATTCACAGTTTAGAGTCTTCCATGAATCTGGATTCTCTCTGAATATTAAGTTGCAAAGAATGAATTAACTTATGTTTTAATTCATAGGAAAGACATTCTCTATGCCTAGGGATGTCAGTACCACCCGCTATCATTGAAGGAAACTCAGTGCAACTCTCTGACCTCCTGGAACTGAGGACCTCTGGCCCCCATGTGACCTCCCTTTGTCAGGGGTCCAGTGCTCCCCAGCTTCTCAGCGAGCAGTCCACCCAGGGGTGTCCCTCTGTTCTCTGTGTGAAGTGGGCGCACAGCCATATTTCATCCTTCTGTGGCATTTCTATTTTTAGTCTTTGAGGGAAATCACTGAGAAATCTGTTCATGATTTTTACAGTTTTCATGTTTTTGTCTTTCGTGCAAAATATTTTAAGTGCTACATCATAATTTAACATAAAATCTTTTGGTATGGGTTCTTTCTTTCTTTCTTTCTTTCTTTCTTTCTTTCTTTCTTTCCTTCCTACTTCTTTGAGATAAGTGAATGGCCTAAAATTTGTGATGTAGATAAGGCAACATTAAAACCAGAGATCCCAATGCTTCTGCCCCCTAAGTCATAGAATTAAAAATGTGTACTGCAGGGAAATGGGATGTCATATAAAAATTTACATCCTAGAACTATCTCTTTCACCATAGTGGAAGAAATAGTGTCATGGAAAAGAAGAGGCATAAGATGAATAAAATCTGTTTTAGAATTTACTAGGATATTTGAACCATATTGGGATTGTGGCATGGAAGGAAACACAATAGATGGAGCTCACTCATGGCTATTCAGCCATGGGATAGGTAGGCTAAAGGCATTTCTAGATGACATGAATGGGAGAATGGCATTACAGCTAGTGAGCTTTGGAATACGGTAGAGTGAGGGGTAGGTTTCCTTATGCAGGAAACCTGTGTAAAAAGTGGTTGAGAATTTGAATTTGTGGTCCTGGAGGTCAGAAAAATGGTGTTGATTAGCCCCATTCTTTTGTTAGCATTAACATTCAAGTTAGCACAAAAAAGAAAAGAGGCAGACAGAATGAAAATGAAAACAAGAGATCAATAGACAAAAAAAATCTATTTTTTTAAGGAAAGCGATATTCTAGAGCTAGAATGCAAAGTTTCACCCACAGTATTGTAAACTGGATCAGGAAGGCTGAAAAATAAGGGAAAAAAGCCCTGGAGAGTGGATTATGAATACTTAACCAGGAAGAGAGTGTGCAGTCAAGAGCAACAAAAATGCTGCCAAAAACCCAATCAGTTAGAATCCTGAGAGATTTGAATTTGACAGCCTTTGCTTAGTATTTTCTTTTCTTTTAATCTCTAAGAGGAATTTCAGAAGGGAGATGTTACAAGAAATGATGTTTAATTAATTAATTGGAAGTTAGTGTGTAGAAACAAATTTTGCAGAAATGTCGAGCCAAGAGCTAAAGGGATGAGAGTGGGCTTGCTCCTGATCAGGCTAGGCAGGATGTTTTTGTCCTGAGTAACAGAGACAACATGCTACTGCAGGTAGAAGCTGTAAACAGGATCCAATAGCAGACTCCACTGTCACCATGCAGTATGACAAATTTGTCATTTAGATGTGCTGTGAATTGTCTTTGCCACAAGAATTTTATTAAGTCATAAAATTCTACCTCTAAATGTAGAACAATTTCCCAGCTCTATCAGCTCTTTCTAGGCCTCAGTGGAAGAGGATGCTCTCAGTCTTCCTGAGACTTGATGTTCAGGGGTGGGTTATGGAGGTAGCCTCTCCTTTTCTGAGAAGTAGGGGAGAGGGAAAGGGGGAAGAGAAAGGGAGGGTGGGATTGGGAGGAGAGGAGGGAGGGAACTATAATCAGGATGTAAAGTGAGTAAGAAAAAAGTATAAGCAAACAGCAAAAAATAACCCTTACTAGAAATGACTGTTTATAATTTACGAGGATGAAAATTTCATACTAAAACCTAATTTTAAAAATCAAATCTAAATATAATTAAAATAAAACAAACAGATGTTAACCTTTACAAATGATGCCTCAATAAATGACCCTAAGAACTTGCACATTGAAGGGATGACCTTAAAAACTGGCGTATTGGATAGTTTTAAAAATTTTGTGGTCATTATTTTATAAATAGATGTTTTTTCTCATGTTAACGATTTTTTTTACACTGGCTAATTGTTTGCCAAGCAAAACTATAACAATACAACATCTAAGACTAGTGGCTGTATCTCAGAATCAGTTTACCCATGTCTTGATATTGCACCAAACCAAGCAAACAAGCCTGGAAATAGGTTATAAGTACTATTCATTCTGCTTCACATCCTACAAGAAATGGATCAGGTGGAGACAACTGTTGAATAGACACAGTTGACTGTTTGCTACAGCCATCTTTCCTTACCTAGAAACCTGGTACCTTATTTTTAAGTTGTATTTTACCTTTATTTCTGCTTTCACACAATAAGCATTTCTTTTCCAGAGGTACAAGAAATTAATGAACAGTATTTTCTACATAAGTCCAGGCTGGTCCTGGTTGATTAGGTGTGTTGTGCACTGAGAGTGTGTTGAGTATTTTAAAATAGGAGCTTGTTTAATGCTTACGTTCTCTCCTCTAGGATACCGGCAGTGTGGTGCGGAAGAGTTCCGCTGTGCTGATGGCCGCTGCCTAGTGAACACTCTATGGCAGTGTGACGGTGACTTTGACTGTCCTGACAGATCAGACGAGGCACCAATCAACCCGAAGTGCAGGAGTGCAGGTACCACATTGTACTACACTCTGCTCACCTTCAGCTTTCTTCTCATGTTTTTATTTTTGTTTCTTTGAGACAGGGCTTCTCTGTGTAGCCAGGGCTGGCCGCAAATCTGTTATTCTCTTGCCTCAGCCTTCTGAGTGCTGCAATTAGAAGTATAAACCACCATGTTATGATGGTGAAGTTTTGTTCTGGTTACTGTCTGGTTAAGTATTCAGTGAATTAGATGCAGAGTCAGACAAATGTTTCTACCGGTTCTACCTAGTGATTATATTTAAGGTTAGTTTGTGCCAAACCATTTTGATGACTCATTACTGTACTTTCTCACCTCATAAATACATCTTCTTTGCTTTGAGAGCAACTTCTTATACAGTTGAGGCAGAATTCAAACTCACTGTGTAGCCAACAATATGACCAATGTTTAACTTTTCCTCCCTTGAACTCACCTTTTAAATGCTAGAATTATAGGTATGTGCCATGTGTTTCCATGGTATTTTCCATTGATACTTTATATGGGGAAAATTCTCTACATAGGCTTATATAAAAATTAAAATATAAAATAAGTTACAATGTAATGAGGATATCATCAGAATACCATATTATTTATTTCATAAATATGCATAACTATTACATATCAATTATTATTTAACTAATGATATACTGAAAATGATTTACATAGCATTAGTCTGTATTACTCACACATACTGGATAACAGTACATATCATTTTAACAGAAGTATAAGAACAAGTTATATATATATATACGTACATGTTCACAGACATGTACAATCAAATTAATTTATGTGCAAATTCACTAAAACAAAGACCGCTTATTCATGTATTTTAGTGCAAACTCAAATTTTCCTTATAATTGTGTATATGTTACTAAGCTTTGTTAAAAACCACATACTATAAGCAGTAATATTTAACATTCCAGTTTAGGTATATGAAAGCTGAACTTTCTAAAGCTGTACTTGAAGAACTATTGTTCATCATCAATGTCTTTTTTATGCCCTGACTTAAAAATGTCAGTGCTATATTTTTTTGGAATATATGAATTTGGCAATATCCACCTCTTCTACCTTCTTAGCTTTTAGTGACAAATAATTTCTCAGAGATCTATAGCTTGGGGGAAATGTCAAGTCATCATTATACTTTTGAACTCATTATTCACAGTGCAAATGAGACAGAACACATCAATATTGCTAAAGATGCTTCTATTAATGCTGGTTTCATAGGAAAGCTAGGTCTTCAGCAGCTAAAAACCATGATGAGACTGTTTGCCCTTGGCTTCCTGAGACCATTGTTTATAAAACCTGAGACCAATCTTTGCAGCACCTTGTATGTACATTTACTCCCTGTAATTTTTGACATACTAGTTATCATATTGTAAGTGTTTTCTAGAACAGTGGCATACAAAGGCATGCCTTTTATATTCCATATGTTTTATTTTCTTTTTCCAGAACATTCATGCAACAGTTCATTTTTTATGTGCAAAAATGGCAGGTGCATTCCCAGCGGTGGTCTTTGTGACAATAGGGATGACTGCGGTGACGGCTCAGATGAAAGAAACTGCCACATAAATGAATGTCTGAGTAAGAAAATCAGTGGCTGTTCTCAAGATTGTCAGGATTTGCCAGTCAGTTACAAGGTAGGCACTCATCAAAAATAGCAAATCATATGAAATGTCAGAAAATGATACAATAAAAACTTCATTTCCAGTATGACCTTAAAACTTGAAAAGCATTGTAATTTTTCTAGGTAAAGGGATTTACAGAAGGATTTCTACCCAAGAAAAAGATAATGATGTATATATTAGAGTTATAAGAGTATACTTAGGAATAAAAAATGTCAAAACTTTCGGAATAAGAGAAGGGGAAGAGTTTAGAGACAGTGAAAAGAAAATAAATGTAAGGTGTACATTCAACACTATAAGTTCTCATTTTCTTCCTCCTTAACATCATTGTGGCTAGTGATTATTCTTTTTAAAATAAAAACTACAACATTATCCTAAAGCATAAAGGGAGAATCTAGAGATCATGAACCATTAGAATCTCAGATCTGCACAGTGCACTTAATTCTTAATTAATTAATGGCTCTTTACTAGTACAGTTTTCAAGAAGAGCATGATTCATTGGGGAAAATGATCAACAGAAATAGTCTTTAACATCATGGATGTATTATAACATTACTGTCCCAGTATTATTAAAATTCATAATTGATTGGGAAACTCCATTAAGAGGAATTCATTTGTAGCCTGAGGCTCTAATTCATTTGCTAGAACACTGCTTTCAATGTCTGTAAGGTCCATGGCACAGTTTGCCAGATCACATAAAAAAAAAAAAGATAGTAACTGACTTGAAAACTACTGTTTTATTTTTGTTTTAACCAGACATTGGCTTGAGGTGAATTGGCAATAGGCTATTTCTTCTATAAAGAGGCAGCCCATAGCAAATTAGATATATCACTGGATATAGAGCTTGTTCTACTAAGTTCTGTACCAATACGGCTCATCTTGAGAATTGTGAACACTTATGGATATGGTACTTTGTTAAAAATAATATTTTTTAATTAATTAATTTTTTATTTATTACAGTTCATTCATTTTGTATCTCCTTCATCTCCTCCCAATAACACCCTTCATCCCTTTTCTCCTCCCATGCCTCTCCCTTAGTCCACTGTTATGGGAGGACCTCCTCCCCTTCCATCTGATCCTAGCTTATCAGGTCTCATCAGGACTGGCTCCCTTGTTCTTCTCTGTGACCTGGTAAAGCTGCTCCCCTCTCAGGGAGCTGTGATCAGAGAGCCAGCCACTGAGTTCATGTCAGTGACAGCCCTGTTCCTTTTGAACCCACTTGGACACTGAGCTGTGTCCAAGATGGGCTACATCTGTGCAGTATTTCTAGGTTATCTCCATGCATGGTCCTTGGTTGGAGTATCAGCCTCCGAAATAATCTTAACAAGTAAATTTATCTACACTCAGAAATATAATTTTGCAGAAGACTAGGTTCAATTCCCAGTACCCAAATGGTAGGTCACAACAGTCTGTAACTCCAGTTTAATGATATCCAACAAACTCTTTTGTCCTCCATGAGTATCTGACACACATACAGATACAATGAGTACATGCAGGCAAAAGACGCTCACACATAAGAAATATACATATAGAAAAATAAGGGTGAGGGGCACATATATTTGAGGGGAAATATTTGTAAATTATCAGAATAAGAAACACATCAGGCTTGTGTAGTCTCAAAGGCTGAGTCATACTTTGACATTTTTGAGAACAAGAAGTTTTATACATCAGCGGTGGTTCAGCAGGGACTGTGTACACTCTGTAAAGAAGACCTGGGAGAAAAGATGTGTCCAGCATGAAGATACCAGGCTGTTTTTCCTTCCTGCTATAACAGTCTATGAAGAGGTATTTCTGAAAAATGCAAATTCAGTCTAATAGCCAATTGTCTATTTTTAATCTGTGAGTCTCTGATGTTATGATTATTTAACTCTAATGGTAAAGGTTATATAATATACCTATATGTCACCTAATCGTTACCAATAAAGATAAATATACATATATCAATACATATCATATAATTTTACATGATATAAAATAAAAAAATATAAATAGAGATGAGTGTGTGTGTGTGTGTGTGTGTGTATAAGTGTGTGTACATGTATCCCAGGGATATCAGCAATCATTACCCCTGGTAGAAAAATAAAGATAAAAAAAGAAAACCTATGTCTGAAGATAAAACTCTTTTTTTCATCTTTTTTTAATATAATTTTCATTTATTACAATTTATTCACTTTGTATCCCAGCTGTAACCCCACTCTTGTTCCCTCCCAATCCCGCCCTCCCTTCCTCCGTCATCTACTCCCATACCCCTTCCCCAGTCTACTGATAGTGGAGGACCGTTAGCAGAGTTTCTGCTTAACTGTTGCAAGACATTAGGTTGACTCCCTAGCTCAGAAAAGAAATTAAAGTGAAGAAACAGAAATACTACGAAAGCTGTATTTTTCAAAAAAGGATTAGACCTTATTTTGTATTAAGAGGTACTTTGAGCAGAGGACATGGAATTTTGTGAAAGAGGGGGGAGATGCAAAGACCTGGAGGAGACAGGACCTCCAAAAGGAGGCCAACAGAGGGAAAAACAAAACAAAACAACAAAAACAAAAACAAAAACTGGGCCCTGAGGATCCTGCAAAGACTGATACCCCAGCCAAGGACCATACATGGAAAGGACCTAAAACACCTTCTCATATGTAGCCCAAAGACTCAGTTTCCAAGTGGGGTCCCTGGTAAGGGGAGCAGAGGCTGTCTCTGGCATGAACTCAGTGACAGGCTCTCTGATCACCTCTTCCTGGTGGGCACAGACTTATCAGCCCACAGAGGAAGACAATGCAGCCACTCGTGAAGAGACCTGATAGGCTAGTGTCAGATGGAAGGGGAGGAGGTCCTCTCCTATCAGTGAAGTAGGGAAGGGGCATAGGGAGAGAAGAGGGAGGAAGGGTAGGATTGGATGAGGGAGGTGAGGGAGGAGGCCACAGCCATGATACAAAGTAAATAAACTGTAATAAACCAAGGACTGGAGATAACCTAGAACCCTGACAATGCAGCCACTTCTGATGAGGACTGATAGACTAAGATCAGAGAGAAGGAGAGGAGGACCTCCCCAATCAGTGGACATGGGGAGGGGCATGCATGTAGAAAGGAGGGGGGAGGGTGAGGCTGGGAAGGGAGGAGGGAGGGGCTTATGGGGGGATACAAAATGAATAAAGTGTAATTAATAAAAGTTAAATAAAAAAAGAAAAAGGCAAATGTGAAAAAAATAATGATAATAATACAATAAGAAGAGGTAATTAGGCTTATATGTGTGAGCACTGTACCAGAAGAAGAAAGTAGTAGCACAGCAAATGTGTAAGGACAGCACTTGAAAATAGAGTGTGTGGCTAATAATCAACTCTTGTAGCAAATTTTTATAAGCCAAGAGAGCAGAAACCTATTTTTTCTGATTTATACATCAATACAGAATTTTTGAAAATTATTTTTATTTATTCATTTACTTTTATTTTAATCACAGGTCATTCACTTGTATCCCAGCCATAACCTCCTCCCTCTTTCCTTCCATCTGACTCTAGCTTATCAGGTATCTTCAGGAATGGCTGCAATATCCTTATCTGTGGCCTAGCAAGCTTGCTCCTCCCTCGGTGGGGTGGGGTTGGGGAGCAATGAACCAGTCATTGAGTTCATGTCAGGAATAATTCTTGTCCCCCTTACTAGGGAACCCATTTGGATACTGAGCTACCATGGGCTACATCTGGGCAGGAGTTTTAGGTTATATCCATGCATGGTCCTTGGTTGAAGAAACAGTCTCATATGAAACCCCTGTGCCCTGATATATTTGGTCCTTGTGGAGCTCCTGTCCCCTCTAGGTCATACTAACTCTCCCTTCTTTCATATTATTCCCTTCACTCTGCCGAAGGTTTGGTTATGAGTCTCAGCATCTGCAGAAATGTCTTTTGAATATACAAAAAGGTTTTATAGAATTATTTTAAACACTAGTTAATGCTAGAAATCATAGCTTAATTAATAATTGTTGAGTATCACATGAATATATATACTATGTGACAAACTTAAAAGTAGATCTCTGTATTTGTTGTTTACAATTAATTCAATTAATTGATTAATTCAATCTAATGTAATTAATGCCATAACAAAAAGGGGTACAATGTATGATAAAAATGATCTTTGGATAATTTGTGCATGATATAAAATGAGATTTTTAAATTAAAATGCTTAGTATGAGGAAATCTTAGCACACAGCAGCACAGCCTGTAGGAAGGAGAATATTTCACATGGAGGACCATGTTGGACCATATTGTACTATCTTAATATCCCTCATCATGCAATACTTGGCAGTTAAAAACATTTATATGTCATTTTTAGTTTGCCTTTTCTGAATGTACTAGATAAGGAGGTGAAAATTATGGTTGAAATACACTAATGTCATTTTGAAATAGTATATGAAGCCTAAAGAATTGCTCTAAATTATTATTAATTAAATTTTATACATTTTAATTTAAATTATAAATTAAATGCATATGTATAGAAATTAAGATTAATCAGTAAAATAAAACTTATAGGAAACAAAATGAGTAAAACTTTAAGTTCAGAATAATGAATAAAATATTTAAAACTTCCCAAATACTGTATATATTTTATACATCTATGTATCTATCTATCATCTGTCACCTATCTATAATCTATTATCTCTCTGTATATACACACACATACAGATATATACATACATATACAGATATCATATATACAAATATATACACACATATATGTGTATATATATATATATATATATATACATATACACATAAAGAGAGAGAGATGGGCTTATGTCTATATGAATGAAAGAGCTGTCTATACAAAAGAATTCCTGTATTTTCTGGGAATAATATGTTATAAGAGTTTCTTTCTTATAAGTAAATAAATAAACTGGTAACTTATTTCTTGATGTAATATCAGCACAACATTATAGGAAATCATCCCTCAGATTCTTCAATGAAAAATGCAGCCAGTACTGATGAAAACTGATAGGCTAGGATCAGATAGTAGAGGAGGGATGGTGGGTAGGACTGGGAGGAGATGAAGGAGGGGGCTACAGCAGGGATACAAAGTGAATGAATTGTAATAAATAATAAATTAATAAAAAAAGAAAATGAAGGAAAAATGAAATAAGTCTTTTAAAAAGTCAAAATAAGAAAAAGAAAAAACACAGTAGGGTTAATGAACAATTTACACATTTGTCATTATACAAATATGATAAGTAGAATTATTAAAAAGTGACTTGCGAGCTGAAAGGTTGTATCAGTGGTTAAGAACATTTGCTATGAAAGAAAAAAGACAGAAATAGATGAGTTCAAATCCTCAGTATACATATAAAATATATATAAAATATGTATACATATAAAACATGGCACTGCACACCTGTGTCATCATTAGGGGCAGAGCCAGGAAGCTGCTGGCATTTCAGTGGCTACTCAGCATAAAGTAGTTAGAGCGTAAGAGACTAGTCTCTGAATGAGATACTCTCACCTCAACTTATGCATATACGGGCACACATATGTACACACGGCGCACTCTCATGTACACACGTACACATAAATAAAAATTGAAGGAGTTATAGTTGACTAAATATGAACATCAGCTAGATCATAAAAATAAATTGTCGTATGCTTCTGTTATGACAATGTTCTGATTATATAGCAGAAGTAAAGGAATAGATATTTGTAAAAAAAAAAAAATCCTGTATAGCTGTAAAATACATTTTTGAAAATAGTAAGAAGATTTTGTATACTGTGTCTCTCTGGTTTCCACCATCCTAATCAATGTGTCATAAATTGAAATGTGGAATAATTCCAAATGATGAACACATAAGATGACTAGAATATTCACAATATTTTGATAAATATTTCAAGTAATTTTGTGATCATTTTTGTAATATGTAGAAATGAAATTAACCTTTAATTTTTTTAAGGTTGCAAATTAACCTACTAGAAAATACAGATGCATTGTAATGGTTCAGGAATGATACATAAAAAGAAAATTTAAAAAGTTACTGAACGGAAGAGAAAACTATTTGAAATTATATCCTTTCAAAAAGTGTAAACATTTACTACAAACCTTATAGTGTGTGTGTATATATATATATGTATTTACTGTTGCTAAATTACTTCTCTTAAGTTGGATTTGTTGAAGTCATATATATATGATAAATGCCACTGTCAGCCTAACACTGGCAACCACAATGACTTCAGGGACCTCATTTAGCTAGAGATGCTCTGAAAGTCCTGCAGCCATTGTACAGAACGATTCACTTGGTTTAAAAAGCACTTTGATTCAATATCACTTTGTGTTGAATAGTCATATTCTGGCTTCTTGACCACACTGTCATGTGATTTAACATCTAGTACTTAGTTGTGATAACATTTTTCATTTGATGAACTTTCTTCTTTTTTTCTTTATAACTCTGGGGCTAACCTGGGGTACAAAGTGAATAAATTTTAATAAGAAATAAAACATAAATAAATAAATCAGAAAGAGTATAAAAATGAAGTTGTGAATTGAATTCCACAAGAAATTTAGCTCTTTTTTTGTGTGTCCATGCCTGTGGGTACATGCATGTGAAATCTGTCTGTCTGTTTAATCATGTATGTCAGTGTTCATGTAGGTAGGATGTCAATGCTAGATGTTTTCCTTGATCATGGTCTACCTTATCTTTGCAACAAGGTCTCTCTCTGAACCCAGTTCTCAATTTGTTCTTACATGGATATTGGGGATCTAAACTAGGGTCCTGTTTGCTTATGCAACAGGCAAGAACTAAGTCTCCTCCCATAGCCAGTATTTTCCATTGCACATATTTTTAAATGCACAGTGCAGTGTCATTTGTGAACATCACCTACAAAGTCTACATGGCTACTCTTGGATTATTAGTTCAGGCTACAAGATGAGTTTTACTAATGGACTTCACAGTGTTTCAATCTAGATATCCAGAGGAGACTGTGAAATCAGACTATTGGTTTTGGTGTATTTCCTAGATTGCAAGTGGGTTCTAGAGGTCTAAACAATGCATCCTATTGTTGAGTCTTATGAGTAAATGTTGATAGAAACTGTGAAAGCTAGATGTTCTCAGGCTTTAGAGCAGTGGTTCTCAACATGTGGATCATGAGCCCTTTGGGATGAGATCAACCCTTTCACAGGGAATGCTGAAGACCATTGAAAAATACAGATATTTATATTATGACTCATAACAGTAGTAAAATTCAGTTTTGAAGTAGCAGGAAAAATAATTTTATGGTTGGAGATCACCATAACATGAGGAAAAGGGTCACAGCATTAGGGAGATTGAGAACCACTGACTTAGGGAATTTATTCTTTATTAAAATACTCAGGATATGTATTTATCTAGCTTCTGAGCCCATCAATTGGTTAATATTACCTCTTTGTTGGTCTGTGAGTATTTTTATATTAAAATTATGAATTAGTATTCTGAGTATGTGTAACCTGATAGGTTTCCTAATAGATAAAAAGCTCTTCCATCTTTCCTTCTCAAATCAATGATGAATGTAACAAAACGCTTATAATAGACAGCTATATAAGTTTCTTTTCGGCAGTTTAAAACATTTGCTTTTCAACTCCATTCTCAAAATCTACAAATTCTTTTATTTAAAGAACACAGAACAAACAAAGTTCAACAACAAAACAATAATAATAAATAATAATCTGCCAAGTATAGTTTTAGTTCCACAGTAAGAATTGTCATATGTTATTCATATGACATGTTATTCAGATTGTTTTTATTTGCATTTCTATGTTTGTATATTTAGAAATATTCCTATGTATTCCTAAATAAATATGTATGTAAAAACAGTTAATGAAAAAGACCATTAATATGAAAAAAAGAGTAGAGATAGTTATATAGAAGGGTTTGGAGAGAGGTAAAGGAAGGGGTAAATGATGTAAGTATATTATAAGAAACATTTTTTAGAAAAGAGATCATCCAAACAATAGAAGAATCTACAGGCTTAGGTGTGGGTTTTGCCATGTTGCTTCTTAGCTGTTGGGTGTTAGTGGTATAAATGCACTTCTAATATTTCCAGGTTCAGAAGGTCATGTGTTATTTAACTTTACACAATCAATATATGTAATTTTACTAAGGTTAATTGAGAGAAGACAGGATAACTCTCCATCATATATTTAAGTGTCTTTCTAGTGTGAGCTTGCTAAAGAGATAACCAATAACAACAGACATTGACAGTGATATCAATTGATGATTCTCATTTTTCTTTTTCCAGTGCAAATGCTGGCCTGGGTTTCAACTGAAGGATGATGGTAAAACATGTGTAGACATTGATGAATGTTCTTCAGGCTTCCCCTGTAGTCAGCAATGCATCAATACATATGGAACCTACAAATGCCGCTGTGCAGAAGGCTATGAAATACAGCCCAATAACCAAAATGGCTGCAGATCACTCTCAGGTATAGAACTGAATTTGCCCATGATCCAAGCTCAGTTATATGAATGGATACTGAATTTTATACTCATTTTTATTGAATATACTCCTTGTTCCTTCGTCTGAGGAGTCAAAATTCTTCCTTCAGGATTGGAATCTGTTACTGTGACATTATATACACCACACATGCACAAGTTCTACTCTAAGAGAAGTTTGCATCATTGTCTTGTGAAGTAGTAAGAGATTTTGAGAAGTTGAGGATGTATGCACATAACATAACTATGCCCAGCATGCTTTCTCTGTGTCGCAGATTATTATCACATGGTTGCCAAGTCTGAGAGACAGAACTGTGACATTATTTTGATTGTTTTTCTTATTTACTTGCATCACTTGCGGTTATGCATACATGCATGCCACAGAGAACCATAGGCTAGTAATGGTAGTAAGAACAATAAATCCCACTATTTGCCATTAGTTCAACAATTTAGCTATTTAGAAAATTGTAAACTTCTGTTTAGTTAAAGCAGTCTCGTTTTAATAAAGCAAGGCCTATAATTTTGTAAATTAGGGAGCAATCACACACATCAAAATGAAACAAGAAATATGCGATTTTTTTTAATTTCATCACTTTAGAGCCTGATAATAGCCCTCTCCCCATTCTCCACCCAGTCCTGTCCTTGCATCTCCATCCCCCAAATTCCACCTCTATTTCCTTTCAGAAAAGGGGAGCCCAAGGAGCACCAACCCTACCCCTGGGACCTCAACTCACAGCAGGACCAAGTGCATCCTCTCCCACTGAGACTAGACAAAGCAGCTCAACTAGGGGAAAAGAGATCCTAAGGCAGGCAACAGAGTCAGAGACAGCCACTACTCCCATTATTAGCGGAACCACATGATATCCTTGCCACATATCTGCTACCTCTGTGTAGGATGTCTAGGTTTGCCATTCCCCCAGTCTCTGTTCCATCTTTATCCCTACATTCCTTATAATCAGGACAAAATTTGGGTTGATGGTTTTATGGGTGGGTTGGTGTCCCCTTCCCTCCACTATAAGTCCCAACTGGCTACAGGAGGTAGCAACCTCAGACTCCATACAACCCGCTGGCAGGAGGGCATGAGTCATAGCTAGGAGCCTGACTTGTCACAGAGATGCTCTCTCAGCCACCTCCATTATCTCTTCTGGTCCTCCGCTCTTTTTTCCTCCCACTTTTCAGTTCTTTCCACACCAGATCCTCACCCCTGCCACCTTCCCCCCCTTCTCCTACACAGCTCCCTTCCTCTATCTACTTCAAATGTCCATTTTGTTTCCTCTTTTCAGTGAGATTTGGGGACCATCCCTTGGGCCCTGCTTGGCTTCTTCAGATCTATGGATTAAAGCATGGTTAACCTGTACATTATGGCTAGTGTCCACTTATAAATGAATACATACCATGCATGTTTTTCTGGGTCTGGTTTACCTCACTCAGTCAGTGTGATCTTTTCTAGTTACATCCATTTGCCTACAAATGGAATGATGTTTTTGTTCTCAATAGCTGAGTAGTATTACATTGTGTAAATGTACTATGTTTTGTTTGTTTTTCTTTTTTACTTGAGTTTTTCCAGTTTGTGTCTATTATGAATAAAGCTTCTATGAACATAGTTGAACAAATGTCCTTGTAGTATGGTGGAGCATCTTTTGCGTACATGATAAAAAGTTGTATAAATGGGGCTTGAGGTAAATCTATTCCCACATTTCTAAGAAAGTGCCAAATTGATTTCCAAAGTGGTTGTACAAGTTTGCACTCTCACTAGAAATAGAAAACTGCTCCCCTTTCTCCACATCCTCATGAGCATGTGCTGTCATTTAAGTTTTTGATCTTAGCCATTCTGACAGGTGTAAGATTGAATCTCAGAGTCATTTTGATTTGTATTTCACTGATGACAAAATGCTTCTCAGCCATTATATGCTCCTCTGTTAAGAATTCTTGGTTTAGCTCTGTGCCCCATTTTTTAATTGGGTTATTACATTTCTTGGTGTTTAATGTCTTGAGATCTTTATATATTTTATATATTAGCCCTCTGCCAGATGTAGGGTTAGTAAAGATCTTTTCCCAATCTGTAGGCTGTTGTTTTGTTCTGATGACAGTGTCTTTTGCTTTACAAAAGCTTTTCAGTATCATGAGGTATCATTTATTAATCGATGATGTTAGAGCCTGAGCTGTTAGCGTTATGTTCAGGAAGTTGTCACCTATGCCCATGAGTTCAAGACTTCCCCCTACTTTTTCTTCTAATAGATTTAGTGTACCAAGTTTTAGAATGAAGTCTTTGATTCAGTTGGACTTGAATTTTGTGCTGGGTGATAAATATAGATCTATTTGCATTCTTCTATGGACAGACATCCAGTTAGATGAGAACTATTTGTTGAAGATGCTTTCTCTTTTCTATTGTATGGTTTTGGCTTCTTTTTTTAAAAAAAATAATCAAGTGTGTGGGTTTATTTCTGGGTCTTTGATTTGATTCCGTTGATCACCCTGCCATTTTTTATTCCAATACCATGCAGTTTTTATTACTATTGGCTTATAGTACAACTTGTAATCTGGGTTGGTGATACCTCCAGAAATTCCAAGATGATATCTCAATTCTGAATATATATGTTCCAAAGGCAAGAGCACCCACACACCAAACCCCACACATTAGTAGTAGGAGAATGCAACACCCCTTTCTCAGCAATGGACAAGTTACTGAGACAGAAACTAAACAGAAATAATGAAAGTAAGCGATATTACGTATCAATTGGACCTAACAGATATTTACAGAACTTTCTATGCAAACACAAATATACATCTTTTTCTTAGCACATCATGAAACCTTCTTCAAAGCTGACTACATACACAAAGCAAACCTTGACAAATACAAGAAAACTGAAATAACACCTTGTATTCTATCAGACAACCATGGATTAAAGCTGGACTGCATTTACAACAGAAAACAACCAAACTCTACAAACTCATGGAAACTGAACAACTTGCTACTCAATGACTGCTGGGTCAGGGAGGAAGTAAAGAAAGAAATTAAAGACTTTCTAGAATTCAATGAAAATGGAGGCACAACATATCCAAACTTATGGGACACAAGTAAAGCAGTGCTAAGAGGAAAGTTACAGCACTAAGTGGTTTCTTAAAGAAATTGGAGAGATCCCAAGCTAGCAGTTTAAAAGCACACCTAAAAGCTCTAGTACAAACAGAAGCAAACACATCCAAGAGGAGTAAATGACTGGAAATAATCAAACTCATGGCTATAATCAATAAAATAAAAACAAAAAGAACAATACAAAGAATCAACAAAATCATGAGCTGGTTCTTTGAAAAAATTCAACAAGATAGACAAATGCTAAACCAAACTAACTAAACTGTAGAGTATCCAAATTAACAAAATCAGATATAAAAAGGTGTGCATAACAACAGACATAAAGGAAATCCAAAGAATCATTAGATCTTACTTCAAAAACCTCTATGCTACAAAATTAAAAAAAATCTACATGAAATGGATGATTTTCTTGATAGATAACACTTACCAACGTTGAATAAATACCAGATAAACAATTAAAATAGACCTATAACTCCTAAGGAAATAGAAGTAGTTATTAAATCATTAAAATCTTCCAACCAAAAAAAAAAAGAAAAAGAAACAGAAGAACATTGACAAACTCATTCTATGAGGTTAGTCACCATGATACCTAAACCACACAAAAACCCAACAAAGAAAGGTGCTGGAGCTTGCTGGCAGAGTCAAACAGTTGCTGAGTGGGGAGTGAGGATTGAAAGAAAATTAAAAAAAAAAAATAATAACACACTATACGCTGAGAGGGCTGCGAGTAGAAACCTTTGTACCTGGTTTATTCCACAATACCTTTTCTTCAGTCAGAGCAAATGACCTCAATGCAATGAAGGGGTTCATTGCGAGGTCAAACTTGTTTACCTTGACCACCTGTCTGTGTGATTTCACAGGAACAAAAGGAAGGAACTTGCAAAACATCCTGCTTAGCTCCAGCTCCAGGTGAAGACCAGGGTGAAAACATGTTTTTGTGCTGAAAATAACAAAGCAGCCTGGCATAGAAAGAGCTCTCCACAAAAGAGAACTTCAGACCAATCTCTCTTATGAACATTAATGCAAAATTGCTAAAGTAGTCACAGACTGAATCTAAGAACAGATCAAAAATATCCTCTACCCTCATTAAGTAGGCTTCATTCCAAGGATGCAGGCAGGGTTCAACATATGAAAATCCGTCAACATAATCCACCATATAAACAAACTGAAAGAAAAAAAAAATGTGACAATCTCATTAGATGCTGAAAAGCCTTAACAAAATCTAACAGCCCTTCATGGTTTCAATTCTTGGAGAGATCGAGATACAAGGCACACAATTAAACACAATAACGGCAATATAAAGAAAGCCAATTGCTAACATCAAGTTTAATGGAGAGAAACTTAAAGCAGTCCCACTAAAATCAAGGACATGACAAGAGTGCCCACTCTCTCTGCATCTATTTAATATAGTACTTGAGCCAGAAGAATAAAAGATAACTAATGGAGATCAAGGGGATACAAATTGGAAAGACAGAAGTCAAAGTATTACTATTCACAGATGATATGATAGTATATATAAGTGACACCAAAATTCTACCAGAGAACTACAGCTGATAAACACCTTTTGCAAAGTGGTTGGATACAAAATTAACTCAAAAAGATCAGTAGCTCCTTTTTCTACAAAAGATATTAATGGGCTGAGAAACAAATTATGGAAGCAATTCCTTTCACAATAGCCACAAATAATATAAATCATCTTTGTGTAACTCTAACCAAGCAAGTAAAAGACCTGCATGACAAGAACATCCTGTCTTTGAAGAAATAAAGAAAATTTTAGAAGAAGGAAAGATCTTGTTAAAAATTAAGAAGAAGCAGGAGTCAACCGATATTCTCTGTGAGAGATTTATTAGGAGAGAAGGGGGAGCAGGTCAGAGAGAGAGAGAAAAAAAAAAGGGAAAGGGGATGGGGTGCCCCAAGAGAGAGAGACAGAGAGAGAAAGAGTAAGAGGGTAATAGAGAGAAGTAAGAGAGAGTAAGAGAGGGAAAGAAAGAGTGTAAGAGAGAGACCATGTGTTGGGGTTAGCCCTTTAAGGGGCAAGGTAACCATGCCGTCCAGGTGTGGCCACCTGGCTGGTGACACATGATGACATCATAGGTTGCTGGGTAACACAGGAACAGGTTGTGTTCCAAAATACTAACAGATCTCCCATGTTCATGATCAGTAGGATTAACATAGTAAAAATGGCCATCTAATCAAAAGTCATCTACAGATTCTGCATAATTACCATCCAAATTCTAACACAATTCTTTACAGACCTTGAAAGAGAAACCATGAACTACATACATAAAAATAAAATACCCAGGATATATTAAAACAATTCTGTACAATAAAAGAACTTCTGGGATACCTCACTCAGGACAGTCTTTTCTAGGTCCCACCATTTGTCTGCAAATTTCATGATTTCCTTGTTTTTAATTTCTGAGTAGTATTCCATTGTGTAAATATACCATTCTCTCTGTATCCATTTCTCCACTGAGGGACATCTAGGTTGTTTTCAGATTCTGGCTATTAGGAATAAAGCAGCTATGAACATGATTGAGCAAATGTGATCCTGAGTGAGGTATCCCAGAACCAGAAAGACACACTTATCAGTGGGTATTAGAAATAAAATATAGGATAAACATACTAAAATCTGTATACCTAAAGAAGCTAAGCAAGAATGAGGATCCTGGGTAAGATGATCAATCCTCACTCAGAAAGACAAAGAGGATGGACATTGGAAGAAGGAGAAAACAGGAAACAGGACAGGAGACTACCACAGAGGGCCTTTGAATGACTCTACCCAGCAGTGTATCACAGCAGATGCTGAGACTCAACCAAACTTTGGGCAGAGTGTAGGGAATCTTAGAAAAGAAGGAGGCGATTGAAAGACCTAGAGGGGACAGGAGCTCAACAAGGAGAGCAACAGAACCTAAATATCTGGGCCCAGGGTTTTTTTCTGAGACAGATTCTCCAACAAGGACCATTCATGGAGATAACCTAGAAGCCCTGCACAGATGTAGCCCACGGCAACTCAGTATCCAAGTGGGTACCCTAGTAATGGGAACAGGGACTGTCTCTGACATGAACTCAGTGGCTTGCTCTTTGGTTACCTCCCCCTGAGGGGGGGATTGGGCAAGCCTTACCAGCTGCAGAGGAAGACAATACAGCCAGTCCTGTTGAGACCTGATAGGCTAAGGTCAGAAAGAAGGGGAGGAGGACCTCCTCTATCAGTAGATGTGAAGAGAGGCACAGGAAGAGATGAGCGAGGGAGGGCGGGATTGGGAAGGGGGTAAGGGAGGGGGCTATAGCTTGGATACAAAAACGAATAAATTGTATTTAATAAAAAAATAAATTAATTAAAAAAATAAATAACACAAAGAGAACTTCTGGACCTATCACTATCCCTGACTTCAAGATGTACTACAGAGCAATATACGGATGTTAATGTGGGGCAAGTGTCACGGAGAGAAACTATTCCTCTTAGTTTTTAAATATCATAAAATCAAAGAGCTATATTGACTTTATGTAAGTATTTATTCAATGTATGTACAAAACTTTTGAACTGCTTTTCTTTAAAAAAAAATTACTTCTAAATGGAAACCAGTGTACCAAGTTAAAAATTAAAAAAAAAAAAATCTTGCCAGGTGTGGCAGCACATGCATGTAATTCCAGCACACAGGGAGGCAGAGGCAGGTGGATCTCTACAGGTTTTTCTGGCCTACACAGTGAATCCAGGACAGGCAATGCCACACAGAGCATCAACAACAGCAACGATAACACCAAAATCTCATAATATACTGAATATTTTGTTCTTTGTCTTTGTCATGAACCTTTGTAACTTTGAAAATCTGTAAGATGGTAAGGCATGTCAACCAAGCATTTGTAAAAGAATTGACAATGTACAAAAGATTAAAAATGAAAATAATAAAAAGTGTCAATTTTTTTTTAATCTCAAAATTTGGAACTTAGAAACAGTTAATTTTCTGACTATCTGAATATTTGACTATACTATGGCTTCTAACACAGCAATACATTATCATTTTCTGAAATGCTCTTCAAGTACATATAGTAGTAGGTATTTTCTAATACCAAATACATTATCAAATGTCTGAGGGTACAGAGGGTGTGAAAGATACATGTTCAATTATTCATATTCCCTGGTTTGCCTGTTTGTGTGTGCATACTCTCTCTACAGAATATGGCTGTCCTGAGCACTTTGGCTACTATTACTCAGAAAAGTGCTGTATGGTCATTTACACTGCTAAAAACTGAACTGAGGAAAGAGTGAACAGGAAGCCGTAAGTGTGCACGTCTAATACAATCTTCTCTTTACTTTTAGAAGAAGAACCCTTCTTAATTCTTGCTGATCAGCAGGAGATAAGAAAAATCAGCATGGATGGGTCCAACTACACACTATTAAAGCAGGTATGCTACATCCAGGATGCCAAGACAGTGAGTGTTGTCCCACAGGTATCAGTGAAGTTATGCACATAGAACATATGTGTAAGGCTTATATGCGAGTGCATGTACAGAAAGTGTCCTCAGTGCTTTGGCTATGATTGGCAGAATGTCTCAGCTTGCTGTAGGATGCCGCGTCAAAGAAAGGGAAGATGGCAGAGGATGGTACATGCTGAGAATTCTCTTAGGAACTCTGAGTTAGAAGCGGATGGCATATTAGAAGTGGCACAGAGTTCTCTTAAGCTATTTTCTGTCCTGTCTGAGTTGCTAGGCATACTATCAATTGCCTGATATGGTCTCTTGAAAATGATTTAGTTCTTTTTTTTTTTTTTTTTTTTTTTTTTTTTTTTTTTTAAATTTTTTTTTT